GTATTAAACTCTGGAAGGGTTAATCGAGCGTTACTCGTTATATCGAGTAGGCACCTGTACAGGTGCATCAAGGATGGTAACATTTTCAATATGCAGCCTTTCGATGGCATAGTTTGAATATTGCATGATGGAGAGAGGTAGTGTTTGTTGTCGCGAACGTAGGAGGAGTATTAGAAGAGTGCTTGATTGTTTGTTCAGGTGCAAGGATAATCGTATAATGAGATTGACTCAGGTGGTTGGCTACACGATAGCTGCACACTTACGCACGCTTTGTGTATACAGATTTTGGTCCTTCAAGGGTTATCTCATTCAGAGTTCAAATTGAGCATCAATTATTTTATGAACTTTCCTGTGTGTTCCATTATTAATCGAATGATCGATTCTCCGGCCGTGATCCTTTCGAGTGGGCGTGGGCGTCTGCAACGTCCACGCATATAATGCATATTTCCGTTGTTCGGCTCGTTTTATCGCGAATACTGCTTAAGCAGCGGAACCAGCTTGAGAGCCTTTCTTGTTTATCTACAACGGTAAACGATATCCGACTTTACGGGCAATATTTTTTGCCGAGTTGCAAGGTTTATCTACCTCTATTCAGTATTTACTATGAACACTGGGACCGCATTTGGTAGCGCATTCATGGAGTAAATCTGCAAGTATATCATTTCCGCCTGACTTAGCGTGCGCCATAAACTTAGAGGAGATCAACTCGTTTCAAAGATATCGCATGGGCATAATAATATTTTCCTGAGAAGAAAATACGACAATTGGATTTAGAGAAACTTCTTATCTATGGTCGTTTCGCATAAATTGTTAAACAAGTTTAAAAGAATTCCTATACTGTTCTCATTGACTCCTACATTTTAACCCAGATCACGTATAATACATGGAAGGGCTGTTTCGATGAAATACAATATTCCATTTCATTTTCAAACAGAATCTCGGATTTACGATGGACGAAAACAGAGATATTCTCCGAATTCGGAATGAAACGTCCCACGCTGTTACATAACGTTGCCATTTCCGCGAATTCGTACGGTGGCGCAGGCTTGCCGTCTCTCTCGCAGCCACCCCCGCGGAAAGCTCGATCTGTCGCGGGGCGAAACGAAGTCGGGTCCTCGGAACAGGAATCAAATTAGGTTAAGCATGGCTGACTTCGTCAGAATTCCGGGCTGACCCATTGTCGTATTTCCGGTACCACCCACTCGTCGATTTCAACCCGTGGCCAAAAGGGGTGGTCATGCAACTCGGTTAAAGCAGGTTTGCCGCGATTCAATTCTTGGCGTCCTCTCGTTGTCCTAAACTAAGCATCACTATTGTTCAACTTAATTTTTTGTTTGCTTATCATACTCGGTTCTGATTCTACATTTTCTGAAAAGTTTCGACTGTCATAAAAAATTTCCTTATCACTTAACAAATGAATTTACTCCAGGTTTTCATTTACTTTCACGTCCATTGACGTGCAAGTAACTAATTTAACGGAGGGGTCGAAAATTGCAGCTGTACCTGACAGTAAAATTGGGTCTGTCTTATCTTTATGGCCTATTATACCGCAAAATCTGCCGATTTGCCCGGGACTAATTGCAGCCGCGTCCCCTGTTTCTGGCAAATAATTACGATCCCCTAGATACGCCTTCTTCTCAATAAAACCGGACGTACCCTCGACCTTAATTCGACAATTACAATCCCCGGCGCGACTGTTTGTTCCCTTTGTAACGTTCGAAGTTCTTCCCTTCGAAAAACGGTCGACTACGCGCGATCCATCTTTCGCGAGGGGAAAACCTTTCTGCGACCTTTCCGAAATTCACTCTTGGCTTGATCTCGTTCGATCGATCGTGGACGTTCGCCCGATTACACGCGTCTAACGTTGAGAAATTACTCGGAGAAGTTGTTGACGACGGAGCTCTCTTCCGGTAGCTCAAGGCCGGGGGATCAGTGATGGGATTTGTCGAATAGAGTCGGGGAGAAGCCAAACTGGGAGTAATGAGGCTCAATCTATTTACCATAGGAACGTTTTTGTGACTTTCCTCATTAAAGGAAAGAAGACCTTAATCACTCTGTTTACGGAATGCCAAGTCACAGAAAAATACTAACACGATATTTCGTGTCTCTGTTCTGTTCCAAGTAACATTCTTACAAACATTTCATCGAAATAAGATCATATCTATACGTTATCGTGACGCTTTCCTGGGAGGCGACCACATCCGGTCTACGCGTACGAATCTCGTATCTACTGTACTAAGAACTATTTATGATATGATAAGCCAGAAGAAAAGTCTTGCAAAATGCATTATGCTGACCATAGTGAACACTTGAAAATCGTTTTGTTTTCTCTGGATAAGAAGAATTGTCTACTCCCAATGGAATTCACGAAGTTCGATACGTGAATCAGAAAATATCTTCGGGCATCCACTTGAATTGTATCAAACATTCTTATCTATTTTGTCAATTAAGAAAAGTTACAGAGCTCACGACCCGTTTTACAGTGTCAACTTAACTCGATAAATAATTTATGATAATTCAATATTCGATTGTACGGGTCCCGGTGACTCGTTCACGATTAGATAAAAATGGTTGCGGGTCGATCTAGTCTGCTGCCGGTCGGTCGTAAAGAGCGGTAATTTGGTTAGACGAGAAGCGTAAACGCGCGACGACGACAATTCCGCGACATTATTATCTCTCGTTGATCGTCGCACACGGTGTTCTCGTCATTGAGGAAGCACGATTATGCAATTTCGTTACGTACGCACCTTGCACATACATATATGCGTGGACACGTGGAATGGAATAGCACAGGGCTACGTTGCATCTCGAGGAATTCACAAATTATTTCTCGTTTCCATAATAATACATTAATTTCAAATTAATATAACTTCGAACTCCTTAATTTATTTAAAATTTTCTTGACACAATAATGATTATTTATTTGTAAAATTTTAAACGTGTGCCATTATTCAACTTATTGCCAGAACAAAATTAAGAATGGTTTTAACAGTAAGTAGAATAGGTCCCTTCCAGTCAGACACGTGACGCGTACATCAATTACTCTTACTCAAGGAATCTGTTCTGACTAAAGGATAACGTTATCTAAAAAGATCCTTTGAAAGCGGACGTTTTTATAAGAAGATGAATGTGTGTGATGACAGGACAACCGCATTGTGATCGCGTATGATATTCCATGAGAGGAGTAATTTTGCTAAATAATTGCCTTCATCCGATATGAGAAATTTCGTCACGGCACGGTAAGCGTGGAACGAAACTGGGTATTAAAATATCGGTCATACGGATGCGAAATGACAGAGCGCGTGGACTATCCGAGGCAATTTATTTGGACGGAACGAGAGCTCTGCCGTCGACACACACCGCTCGTTAAAATCGTTGACGAATAGCCGTGCGTACCTTTGTGTCTGTATCATTCGGATCAATAGAAGGCTGAGTATTCGTTGCCCGCGGCCCTACGTCCGCTCTCCTTCGATCCATTTTTCACACACGCGTCTCCGCGTAGTCCTGTCAACGATATCGATGATGATGAAACGGGCTTTTCAATTCGTATGAATCGTTGCGAGCCAGACGGTGTCAAACGGCGAACCTAGGGACGATCCATCGACACGGCATGAGCTCTAAAGATAATGAGATGTAAAAAATGATTCCTTCGACGCGTCGAGAACCACTGGCTACCCGCCAATCTATTTCATTTGCTTCCGCGACACGTTTAGAATTGCAATCACCGTTCCGAGTCGACGAGAGGTCGAGACAATTTACTGCACTGCGGCTAGGCAAAATCTTCTCCTCCAACGAGTGACAATTATCGCATCGCCCCGCGTATGCACCGAGTAGCTTCCACGATCGATACGCGGAGTGCCATTATGCGCGATGCATCTCGCGAATTTTAACGCGAGCAGAACTCGCAAACCGGAGAGAAACTGAACGGTGTATTTTTTCTAACAATTTTTACCTTGGCTCGATTCACTCGAATTGGTTAATTCAGAATATCAAACGTCCATAGCAAATGTTGAATTAATTGTGGTAGTAATTTAACGAAAAAATTTTCATTTTTTTTATGCAGTGAGGTTTGTTGATAATGTAAAACGTGTGGAGGAATTATATTGGGGGTAAGCATGGTTAATCCAGCGATCGATTAATCGAGTCCTCGTGGCTTTCTTTTACCGCAAGAGACAAGGGGTGCGACCCTTGCGAATTCGTGACTTGTCGTCGACTTTCTAGGGCTTGAACCTTAGGAACGACCCCTCCGAGGGACGTTTCGAGGTTTTTATTCCGCGTATCCACGTTTGTACATCGTTTGTATGCGCCGAAGCACTCGGGGAAATGAGATCACGCCTGCTCGTGGAAATATTCCGCTAGAAACTGTTCCCGAATATTCTGTTTCTCTCAAATTGTCGCGCTTAAACGAGTCCATTCTTTTCTATTCCGATAGTCAACAGAGAATCGTTTAACTTCGTAGGGACGAAAAATAAATTTTGATCACGTTAATCAAACTTCAACGTAGAACGTTTGAAGCATTAAAAGTTAAAATACAAATTCTGTACGAATGCGTACCGCGAATTTAATATAGTTTTCGAGTTTGAAAAACGGGAAAGAGCAACAATGGAGGTGGAACGAGCATACAATAGAGTTGTTCACAATAGAAACCACGATTAATCCCGTAAGGCCGTCGCTCAAGGATCCGTTCGATCCGGGATCGAACCGATTTCCAGCGGCACGCCTGCGTCCAACTGCTACCGGAAACGGTCGTTATCCAAACGTCGGCTGGTCGAGGCCGCTCTTGAAAATTAGGCTTACGACTTCACTTGCTCGATCCGCGCTCCTCACGTGCTTCAAAAATTGTTACCTCGACGCGACTGCAATGTTTTACCACTGCGTGTTTCTAAAATTTCATAAACAATTTATTTGTTCGTTTTACGCGACCGCCGACCCATCGATTTATTTTATATTTTTTTTTGTCTTCTCATCTCATGTTTTTTTTATCATCTCATTTTTTACAGCATGGCCGCTCAGACTCGTACAGGGTCGCGACGTTACCGAAACTTCGCGATGACAACAAAACAGCTGACGGGATGTACAAGGTATTCACAGCGCGGTACTTCCGGTCCGCGCTGGCAATTTTTTTTTTCTTTTTTTTCGGGGCTTGCTTCGTCGACGGAACTCGGAGCTCCGTCCTTTCTGCTACAATCGCTCTTCTCCATGGCTTATGAATTCTTTCTGCGAATTTCTTCTTTCTGTCAATTCTCCGTGACCGTCGAATTAACTAGTGTCCATGGCCACGCAATTCCAACGGCCTATTCTTTATGGTTATTCTGCTACGAAAATCTTCTGAAACTCTATTCTAGTTTCCTGTTCTTTCTGCTCATTCTTCATTGATATACTTTTATTAACTTCTTTCTTCTCCAAAAGATGAATTATTATACGCTATCTAACTTCTCTTTTGTGTATACTCTTCTCTTCTATCCGATGATTAATGCTGTCGTACTCTTCCTCGCACAATACTCAAGCTCGGCATAACACGAATTGCTAACATAGATTACCAAGCCTTTGTGTACTATCGTCGTGTTACAATTGATGGCAAAGGGAAATTTATCGTGAGGTTTCGTCTATCGCTTGTGTATATCTTCTGCCTCGACGCATCTAATTTAGGGTAACAGACTAATACGAGGTGAAGGGTGTGCCAAGGAGTACGTTTAATTGGTCCTTCAATTATTCCAACGTCGACTTGGTCGAAACGGATGATGGCGTAATCAACTATGATCCTGTGATTAATTCTTGTGTTCGTAGGCTCTATCAAACACGCTGTAAATACTTCTCTGTGGCGCAGAGGTAACCCAGTTCCCATATCCCGAAAGTTTATGTCACCAACAATGTACATTTACCAGCTTGAACAGTTTCTGTATTTCCAATTACTAACTCCGCGGCATACTGTCCTGGAGGTGGATAAAAAAGGATGACCGCTTTAAGCCCGATGATCCATTTTGCCTTATCCGAATCCTTCGGACTTTACGTATCCTTCGCCTTTAATCGTGACAATTTTACTGACGGTTCTGGTGTTTGCAAAATAGTCGCGGCGGAAGCAACCAAAGCGGAGGACGGACAATTTAGATGACTTGAAGCAGGAGTTGGACATCGACTTCCACAGGATCACGCCCGAGGAACTGTATCAAAGATTTCAAACGCACCCCGAAAACGTGAGTATTCAAGTACAGTTGGGAAGGGAAAAGTGGAGAGGATCGCGCGTTCCAGTTTAGAATAATTAATCGACGCTGACGCGAGCGAAGTTTTCTCTCGCCCTCTCCCTCTTGTATGATGCACGAGTACCTTTCGCTCGCTCTATCTTGAACCGCGGTGCACGCGTCGATCGATCGAGTTATTTAAAGCTCTCGAGTATCATCGGTGACACGAAAGTCATGATATCCCTTATTTAGCGGGGCCGATAATTGTGGAACGCGTTGCCACTGTTAATACACGGCGTGAATGGGTTAATTGAAAAGAAAAAAGAAGCCGTAAAGTCTGTCGACTGGCAGGTAGAAATAGAATTTGCTGAGTTAATAATGGATACGTTACTGGGAAAGCATCGCTTGCACGAATTTGATTCAACCTTTACATCGAATAATTTTCGTCGTCGATAAATGAGCTGAGGCCGACCCTAATTAACGCGACGGTACTTTCAATCGGGTTAGACTGGACTTATTTTAAGACGAGACTCTCAATAAATGTCCAACGAGCTAGAAAGTTTACGCTCTATAATCCAGTACGAAGTATACTTGTCTCACTTGGACAACTGATACCAAGCGGATTCCGATGTTGCAGGGCCTCAGCCATGCGAAGGCAAAAGAGAACCTGGAGAGGGACGGTCCGAACGCATTGACGCCACCGAAACAGACGCCGGAATGGGTGAAATTCTGCAAGAACCTGTTCGGTGGTTTCGCGTTGCTGCTGTGGATCGGCGCGATCCTCTGCTTCATCGCGTACTCCATCCAGGCGACGACAAGCGAGGATCCGAACGACGACAATCTGTACCTGGGCATCGTGCTGGCGGCGGTCGTGATAGTGACTGGCATATTCTCGTATTACCAAGAGAGCAAATCGAGCAAGATCATGGAATCGTTCAAGAACATGGTACCGCAGTTCGCGACCGTGATCAGGGAGGGCGAGAAGACTCAGCTGAGGGCGGAGGAATTGGTGCTGGGAGACGTGGTCGACGTGAAATTTGGCGACCGTATACCGGCCGACATCAGGATTATCGAGTCGCGAGGATTCAAGGTGGACAACAGTTCGCTGACTGGCGAATCCGAGCCCCAATCGAGGTCTCCAGAATTCACGAACGATAACCCGTTAGAAACAAAAAATCTCGCGTTCTTCTCCACGAATGCCGTTGAAGGCACCGCAAAAGGAGTGGTGATCTGCTGTGGTGATCAGACAGTGATGGGAAGAATTGCTGGTTTAGCATCTGGCCTTGATACTGGTGAAACACCGATCGCTAAGGAGATTCACCACTTCATTCATTTGATTACGGGCGTGGCCGTGTTCCTTGGGATAACGTTTTTCCTCATCGCGTTCATTCTCGGTTACCATTGGCTCGACGCGGTTATCTTCTTGATCGGAATTATCGTAGCTAACGTACCGGAAGGTTTGCTCGCGACCGTCACCGTGTGCTTGACGCTTACTGCGAAACGTATGGCGTCGAAAAATTGCTTAGTAAAGAATCTGGAAGCCGTCGAAACGCTTGGCTCTACGTCTACCATCTGCTCGGACAAGACCGGAACCCTGACGCAGAACCGCATGACCGTCGCACACATGTGGTTCGATAATCAGATCATTGAAGCGGACACGACGGAAGATCAGTCCGGTCTCCAGTACGACCGCACAAGTCCCGGTTTCCAGGCGTTGGCAAAGATCGCGACACTCTGCAACCGGGCTGAGTTCAAGGCTGGGCAGGATCGCGAGCCGATCTTGAAGAGGGAAGTGGCCGGCGACGCTTCGGAGGCTGCCCTGCTCAAATGCATGGAGCTCGCTCTCGGCGACGTCATGGGAATCAGAAAGCGCAATAAGAAAGTATGCGAGATTCCTTTCAACTCGACGAACAAGTACCAGGTCTCTATCCACGAATCGGATAATCCGGACGACCCCAGGCACCTGCTAGTGATGAAGGGCGCCCCGGAGAGAATCCTCGATCGCTGCTCGACCATATTCATCGGCGGCAAGGAGAAAGTGTTGGACGAGGAGATGAAGGAGGCGTTCAACAATGCTTATCTTGCGCTCGGTGGTCTCGGTGAACGTGTACTCGGTTTCTGCGACTACATACTGCCGTCCGATAAATTCCCGATCGGCTTCAAGTTCAACTGCGACGACCCGAATTTCCCAGTGGACGGACTCCGCTTCGTGGGCCTGATGTCTATGATCGACCCGCCCAGGGCTGCGGTGCCCGACGCGGTCGCCAAGTGCCGCTCCGCCGGCATCAAGGTCATCATGGTAACCGGTGACCATCCGATCACTGCCAAAGCCATTGCCAAATCCGTCGGCATCATCTCTGAAGGTAGGTCCCGCGAATTCTCTTCAGCCCGTGTTCACGCGAAACGAGATTCTCGCGTCCGATGATACATGTCTATTCTCGTTGATCAGGTAATGAAACCGTCGAGGACATTGCTCAACGGTTGAACATCCCGGTATCCGAAGTCAATCCTCGCGAGGCAAAAGCCGCCGTCATCCACGGAACCGAACTCAGGGAACTGAACTCCGACCAACTGGATGAGATTCTCAGGTACCACACCGAAATTGTGTTCGCCCGTACTTCTCCTCAGCAGAAGCTCATCATCGTCGAAGGCTGCCAACGAATGGGTGCTATCGTCGCCGTAACCGGTAAGCAATTTCCTCTATGGAACATTCCGCGACTGAATTCCACATAAACCGAATTGAATCTCCTCAGAGACGATTAAGTTTAATCCTCTCTAAGTTCTCTACGATGCATCTAACAATAAGAACGCGGCATGGTAAACACCTTGTTTACTGCATATGCATTACATTTGATTAAATCCTCTTAAGACTTGCATTGCATGCATATGAATCGTAATGTGCGTTTATGATCTTGACACGTATACGTATTCCCGAGATTTATTTGTTATAAAATAGTGTATAGTATTATGAATTTACGCCAAGTGTTCGTTTCTGTTCCAGGTGATGGTGTGAACGATTCGCCCGCGTTGAAAAAGGCCGACATTGGTGTAGCCATGGGTATCGCCGGATCTGATGTGTCCAAGCAAGCGGCCGACATGATTTTGCTCGACGACAACTTCGCCTCGATCGTAACTGGTGTCGAGGAGGGTCGATTGATCTTCGACAACCTGAAGAAATCCATCGCATACACCCTCACCTCGAACATACCCGAGATCTCACCTTTCCTGGCGTTCATCCTTTGCGACATTCCTCTGCCTCTTGGTACCGTCACTATTCTCTGCATCGACTTGGGAACGGACATGGTGAGTCACATTTTATCGTTCGCGTTTCGATCATTTCTACCCGGACATGGCCGAAACGTTAATACAATTCCGTGGTATCGAATTCGAGGATTCCTCGACAAGACTCGCTGTACGATGGGACATCTTTCGAGGAATCGTTGCAATTCTCGTGTAATCAAAGATTTTCAGCATTGCGTGATTTTTTTCTGTGCGCCTCCTGTGGGATGAGTCGGTCCACAGTTGATGTTTTATGTTTAAAACGATGATTGTCAGGTGCCAGCCATATCCTTGGCGTACGAGCACGCCGAGTCGGACATTATGAAAAGAAGACCTCGTGATCCGTACCACGATAATCTCGTCAACGAAAGGTTTTCTCTTTAGCAAAAGGACGAATAGCTTGTTCCAATTAGGTTGTGATTATTTAGACCAGATGTAGAGCTCCAGTAATTGCAGTATGCCAGATCCACGCGTAAACGACAACGTCGACATCCCTAAGTGGCCAGTTTGCTGATTATTATAAGATTATGTATATTATATTGACACGAGAATTTTCATTCTGGGCCTATTCCTATTTCGAGTAAAATCCAAGAATATTTTGAAATGACAAATAATGCAGGGAATAGATCCTTTCAGAATTGAAATACTCGTGGCATCGAGAGTAATCAAATTTTTTCCAGCCGCATTACCGGTCGATCTCGCAAAGATGAAAGAAGAGCCTCAGAGGCGTTTCGATAAATCAAACGGTGACCCGTAAAAAGTCGATCCCCAGAATGTCCTTTCCATCCCTCGACACTTCCCGGCTCATTATATCGATCGATTTTGTTCTCTCAGTTGATTTTTTGCTTACCTTTTCTACGTTCTCATCATATAATACTCACTGCCCGTAAGAGTGCTGACTATACCAAGGAAGAATTAAAATTACGTTCAGAGAATACCCAGTGCTGAATTAAAAATAGATTTCTAAAATGAAAGTCCTTCGACGACCGCTTTGCTGTTTCATCTTTTTCGTTTCTCGCGGGATAAAGATAATAGTCAGCACGCTTGCATCGCGGGTCAGCGAGAATCAATACTCATCATTGTTCTAACTGTTGGCGTTGTTACTGAGCCTATTGATAATGTGACGTCAGGTGCCAGCCATCTCACTTGCCTACGAGGAGGCAGAGAGCGATATTATGAAGCGACATCCACGAAACCCGTTCACTGACAAGCTAGTTAACGAAAGGTAACACATCAACAAACATAAACGAGCCTTGACAAAAAAAAAACTACAACTCTACTATTACTACTGCTACTACTATTACTACACCATTGATACTTCTTATGGTTAGAAAAAAAATAATCGGCGACATGGTCTGTTTGATTCTTGAAGCTCTCTCTCTTCGTTCATCACTTGAAACAGAGTACACACGATTGCATTGCTACTAGCTTCGAAATAAATTTGTTTGCAGAGTATCATTGATTTCAAGAATCAGATCGCACAGATCGCTCTCTTCGTTACCTATCTATTGGTCGTTACACTTCTTACTTACTCCTATCGTTATTGTATAGTAGCTAGTTCGTAATTCTGCCTATTCTAAAGCGTTCTCGAATACTAGAGAAAGAATACACACGAAAATTACGACACAGAAATTTTCACGACACGGTTTTTCGTTCCACGAGAGCGTGAATAACTCATTCGCCCGGATGTACCAAGACAAACATTGGACGGGACTGATAACGATTCGTGTGCTCAAATTAATCCCGTAGCCTGATTTGTTTGTATGTACAAATTATTCGATGTTATTTTTATTTCCCCTATCTCATTTTATTCTTATTTTTCTGTGCAAATTTAACGTTGAAATTGTCCGGTGTTTACTGAACGAATTTTCGTACTAACGTAACGTGAACGACCAACAGTTGCTGGTTCGCGAGTGAATGCCACTTTTCAAATGGTGCATTAAAGAAAATAAAAAAAAAAAGAAAAGAGAAAGAAATGGGAACAATCCTGTATTGAAGGAAACGCGAATGTCACGCGGATTGTTTGAAGTGCTTTTTGTTGTCAAAAGGGAAGCTTTCGCTCGAGCTTCAACGCGAACTTGGTAAAAACTGAACGTGATGTCTGATATATGGTTTTATTTATTATTTCCTTCACGTGTGTTCCGCTTTGTAAATTTTTTTCGGTTAAACGCCGAAGGCTGTGGGTTTAATTTGTTTCGATATGCCTTGGTTGGAAGACTCTGAGACTCGCTAGGGGATGATAAATGATCGATGATCTAACAAGGTAATAGAATGGTGCACGTAGGTATAACACTTGAGGGCATTTGGTGACTGGATATAACACAGTATAGAGCTTTATTATTTCAACTTTTAATATATTCTATCTATCTTTCTTTCTATCTATCTATCTATTTCTCAGCCCTTCCGACAAAAGCCCGGTCGACGCTCGCTCTGAAGCTGAATCGTAAATCTTGATCGATGACGTTTGCTCGCTCACAATTAGCCAACAGTCTCATTACGAAGACGTTGAATTAATACTACCAGTAATCTGTTATTATGATTATTATTACATCAGCAGCTGTCGTCAATTCCATTCGAGTTCTCCCTCTGAGAAAGTATTTTTCTTTCTCTCGTTGTTGATATATAATGGCAAACGGTAGGGCGAGCAATCTTCTCCTTCAAAGAGTCTTCCCTCGATAGAAAAGACAAAATTGCCAGTCAAGCAGTCGCTTCCATAAACGACGATCTTCGGTTGTAATTAGTGTATCGTTTCGTTAAAGCCAAAGGTAAGCCGATCTCTCTTTCATTCAAGTCTTTCTTTCTATCTATCTATATACTCACTTTCTCTCTCTCTCTCTTTCTCTCCATTTCAAAGCTCAGCTTTTCTCTAAACTATCTCGCCCCTTCGATATTGTATCGCCACATCGGCTTGCCACCACGGACGGAAAGTCCTTCTCTCCTATCTTTATTCTCATTTTATCTCACCGCACTTTCTTTAGCCTCCTCCTCCGAAAAAAAGAAAATCCAAACTGGGTGATGACGTATCGAGATCCGTAAGAATCATTCTCCTCATCAATCATGTTAGATTTAACAGCCAAACTTTTCGATACGACACCATCATCGTCATCATGTTATCTTTAGCGATGAGTTATCATTTCTAAGTTTTAATGCTCCGATATTGTTCCGTTATTTTCTTCCTTTGGATCATCGTCCTTACCTTCTTGTCTTACGTATTTCGTTCCTCCACCGTTCCTAGCTGCCTCTCACGCGGTAAGCCAAGTTGGTCGTTGCTCTGCATCGCTGATATAATTAATCTCCATCCCCCCTTGTTTCTTTTCTTTTTAATTCGTGACTGCTTTATCCGAAAAGAACCTAGTATTTCACACCCCTCTTTCCAGTTAATTAGATCAGTCGGACGACCCTGAAGAGACACGATTCAGGGGACAGTGATTTCTTATTCTTCATTCAATCGTTCTTTAAACGGAAACAGACATACACGCCTGGAGGTGAACAGTTTTACACGGGGTATAGAAGATGTGTGTAGGACGATAGATTGAATCGCTCCGATCGATGCAGAAACAATCTCGCTTTATGGTTTGGCCAACGAAATTACGTGTAATAGAACCACCGGTTAATCGGTTCTGCATCGGGCGATTCACGTGTCTTAGTCAAGTCACGAGCTTAGTTGACTCAGTAGTCCGGGCGAGTCTCGTTGAAAGGAGCGTCTCCGCACCTCTCGAGCAGTTCTTAACACGTTTGATTTGAAACTCCTGAAAGGAGATCAAAGAACGCCGAATGATTTTCTTCTCTGCACGCTACCGTCACCGCTTAAAGATTCTCAATTCTGCTTGTCTCGCTTTTGACTCGAAAGGAATACGAAATAAGATAAGTTTCATTACATCGTAAAACGTGTTAAGATACTTGGTCAACTATGGAATATTTTAATTATACAAATCGCTCTTACTCAACGATGCTCGCCTCTAAAAACTTAGTCGATTCTACGCTGTTGTGTAATTATTATCGTCTACGTAAATACGTAAATCGATCATATTATATATGTATTTATATATTATATCTATATTTATTATTCATCCCCTTGGTAATTATCGTTATTATCCACCATGATCATTGTCATCATTATCATCGGTATTGCTATTACTGTCCTCGTTAATCAGTATTGTTAGCTTCCGTTATCGTTGACCCCTTTTTATCATCATCGTAAACGATATCACGCATCATCAACATAGTGAATCATCTTTCGATCCCTTTCACCGTCACTCCTTTCATTATTTTACTATATTTATTATAGACCGCCGTCACAATCACACACGCCTAGCATATTTATTACTATTACTACTACTATTACTGTCATTAGTATTAAAATAGCTAAAGAAGTTGTACTTTTATTATATATTCTACTCTCCACGCAGCTGTGCCGCTACTACCTCTGTATTTTTATACTATTCGATTACTATTCACTTGTCTAAATCTCTCTTCGGAATCGGAATTAGACGTAAAAACGAAACGAGATACGGGAAAACGAAACGAAGGAAACGAGTATTGAAATTAGTTATATGCGACACATTTTGTACATTTTTTAGGCATCATGATTTTCTTCTTTGCAGTTTTTTATTCTTTACAGTCCTATCACATTTTATTCTGTAATGCGCTGCCTACCGCCGCTGCCTTCTACTACTTCTGCGACTGGCAACTATATTCTAATGGCCGCCGAACGATCGAACGAGACACAATTTTCGATTGTTGCTACAAAAAGTTATTCCCCTCGCTCCCCACTTCTATCGCAAAATTGCAAAGACTCGTCGCTAGCGCGGGGATCTTTCTGGGCCCGACGTCTACGCATTTTATTTATCAACATGGGAGGATTAAGGTTGTTCACGCTCCCCAATGCGACCGGGTGTTCCTTTTTAAAATACATACTTTTCAAACGAATCTGTAATTCTTAGGACTCTGATACACGGAATTAATTGTGACGAATGTTTATTTTCTTGCGCATTGGGGAGCACATGCTTAAACGTACTAACAAACTGGAGCTTGAGGTTCGCGTGCTCGAAGTGCACGAAAGAGCAGGGAGGATGAATACGAGAGCTCAGATTTTTTCATGAACAGAATTAGAAACGAGGATTTCGAACGAGAGGAAGGGAGCCCCTCTTCTGGTTCGAAACAGCAAACTTCCTGTTCGTTTCGTCGGCACTGACGAGTATGAATCTTAATAATTGTGTACATATAATGTAAATATGCGATATACGTATTGTATATATTATCTATACTCCTTGTACGGTGTACGGGGTGCTTGGTACACGTATTATTCTAATCAATGGTGGATGGCAGGTGCCGGCCATCTCGCTAGCTTACGAGGCACCGGAGTCGGACATTATGAAACGGCAGCCCCGCGATCCTTACAGAGACAATCTTGTCAACCGAAGGTGGGTCTCCCAGCTACCCACCAAGAAAACCAATCAACCCAGCGATAATGTCCATGCACTCACTCATCTCCAAGCTGCAGACGCATACATACATATAACGCGACACACGATCTACGTACAGACACACAGAGTACAGTTATAAAAGAGACACGGTTCACAAGTATCCAGGTATTGATCATCATGATAGATGATTTAAATAAGAGTAATCAAATTCGTGGGACAGTTTTCTGTCCATTTAACAATACACTGTAACATCAGGATACTTGTGAACCATATTACCACTTGAAAATTTGGGATCCACTTTTCGATGCATTGAAAAATTTTACAAACTGAATAAACTCTCATAATTCGATAAATTGCTCGAAAGAGAATAATGAAATATCCGAAATAATGTTGAAATGAATGCAGGACATGAAAATGTACAATTTCTATATTTTATATTATTTTTCTTTCCAAGACGTGATTAGGAGCAATCCCAAACTTTTGGGTGGAAACCTATACGTATGACGGAAGGTGAAAGTTTTACTGCTGATCGTTTGCTGGAGACTTAATTGATTTTTTGGAGATTAGGAACTAATAGTTTTTGGATGGCTTTTAGGGAATAGCTTAGAGGTTTTTTTTTATAGTTTCTTATTTTAACGTGGTCAGTGGTGTTCGAGATAAATCGTTTAAATCCTTTACACTCTGCGTATAGGAAAAAGGTTTTTTTTACTAATGTTTTAATTAGATTTTTTTTTTTTTATTTCTAAATATTCTTTCCATTCCGCGTAAACCAAGCGATATATCGAGAAATTAAGTAAATCATTTTTGTGCAACGATAAAGTACATTCAACAGTTCACGTCCGAACATCTCTGACAAATTTTTGAATGCTCATGTTTCCAAAATGATTAGCAGGCAACCATATTTCATTCGTTCACTAAAAAAATCAAATTAACGTGCCGCTGAACGTGGATGCAGTGTGCTATTGGCAAACATTTGGCTTCTCTGACTCGTCACACTTCTGTATACGTATACGTATGCCTACACACGACACATAATTGTTACACAGTTCATTTTGACAGAGTGTCTACTGAAATGTCGGAGTCGTACATTTGTTTCTGAACTACAGATCTCTCATTGTCTCGATGGTCACTCGCTTGATCTTTTATTTTGTTCTGCACGCGACAAAGATAAATTGTTCTTTTCGTCGTCTGACTGTGTGCACTTTCGTCTGCACTTTGTTCAAGAGAAGAAACAGGAGATAAATAAAGAAAATAATGTATAGAATTTTCGCAATCGACACGCTCCGAAACTTTGAGTTAATTAAATGAGTAAAAATTATCTACGATCGTCTTACGATTTGCAAATTAATTTTCTAATCGAGAGATTTGTCGGATTGCAAAGAACAAAGAGGAATATGTTTAAAAAGGAAAGGGAACTAATTTCAAAGTCTCGGTTGACACTCTACGCCTCGGCCAGATATGAAAACACGTCTCTAGGAGAATTAGCTAAGTAGTGATAGCACAAGCAAGTAACCCGAATTAGGATAACTACAGTTGAAAATTCTGAATGCTTTAGCCACCACTTAGAGAAAAATTCGGTTCGACTCGTACCGAGTCTCTAACCACCGATTGCGCCTGATTAAAATGAAGTTTTAACCAGCTTTTCTCAAACGATTCACGTGTATTTTAACACAGCCGTGCACTACGTATGTGTGCAATACTAAAGCTGAGACTAGGAAGTATACTAAAAAAAAAAGAACAGTGACACGAAATAATAGAAGCTGCGACAAAACGAGAGTTCGATGCTGATTGAGAGATCACGATCTTAGTTGTGCTTGAAACCTCGCGATTAAAATTACGTACTGTAACAACGATGAGAATACAAGCACGGCCTAAGCAGCAGCGTCTAGCAAAGTTAACGAGTCGATTATGCCGCGAGGCTTAAACAACGAACCGCAGATGATGATGATGATCTAACAGCTTGCGAATATATTTTCATCGTCTTAACGCCTTTCTATCTATTCTCTCTGTCCTAACTTAACTTTTGAACTTCGTCTCGCGTGCCTCACACGCGGATTCGTTGATTTGCTTATACGCCACGATCTGATTTCTTACTCGATCTATAACGCTTTTAACTGAGCTAACCGATGATAGTAGGAAACCACTGACTGATGATAATGCATGACATGCGGCCTGTTGCATGGGAATGCTGACGATCACAGAGCTGATTCGCCTTAGATCAATTTTCAAATGTTGAATTAAGAGTCTCGTTATTTAAGACGAAAAGATGATCGACCACAGAATCAGCTCCGTAATCAAACTATTCAAACACATGATACTGATCCAAGCGCTGCTTCACTGTGCTTTCCACTTGTCCCAAAACTCACGGTACGACCGAGTGACCTACTGCATGCGCTCGCACTTAGGATGCTCGATGTTCAAAGTGCACCGTGAGAGTTGGTGATCGGCAAATTTAAAAAAAAAATTGTATGTGCGTGGCTTTGGGCGCTTTGTGTGGCATGCCTCAGTGTGAAGAACCGATCGTTACCGCCTGCGTTTCGAGTCGGTAAGTAACGTCCGTGTTTTAATCTCAGGTGACTACGGCTTCCGTATTAACACCCACCTAGGCTATTAGAGGCGAACTTAGATGATTAGTGGCATACACATAGAGAGCTTCCTCCCGACTTTCAAAGAGTTTTTGGAGAAAAACGAAGGCCTTGTTTCGAAGTAACTTCACACGAGTCGGACGTAGCTTCATTAAAATATTAAGTACCCGTTGCCCCACTTTAATAATGCCTTTAAATATTTAATGGTCCTAAAGGTCTTCTCTTAAGCATCTTCTTGAACAGTAAAAAAAAAAAAAACGGGTCAAGCTCTTTTTTGTTGACTCATTTTAAATACTTTTCGCCTTGATTATTCGTGAACGATCTCGACACCGCGCTTTGATAACTATTCTAGATATTTAACAGTGCCGAAGCATCTTTGCAAATAGCCGATTACGAATTTTTATTTTCATTCGTTTGAACGTTGATGAAGGAATTCCTTGAAAGTCGTAATTTAATCGCAGAAACTCTCTGAACGGCAATCGTCTAATCGAATTCTCTATGCTCAGGCTTATTTCGATGGCGTATGGTCAGATCGGTATGATCCAGGCCGCGGCCGGTTTCTTCGTCTACTTCGTGATCATGGCTGAGAACGGATTTCTGCCATTGTATCTTTTCGGTATCCGAAAAATGTGGGACTCCAAGGCTATCAACGATCTCCGCGACAGTTACGGACAAGAATGGGTAAATCAATATATAATACAGTGGTTCTTATTAAAGACCCTGACCGGTAGCGAAGTATTACACGAAGTTATTCGCTTGACAGACCTACAGGGACCGGAAGACATTGGAATTCACCTGCCACACGGCCTTTTTCGTTTCGATCGTTATCGTCCAGTGGGCCGACTTGATCGTTTGTAAGACACGACGTAATTCCATCGTCCACCAGGGAATGAGAAACTGGGCCCTGAACTTTGGTCTAGTGTTTGAGACCGCCCTCGCCGCGTTCCTAAGCTACACACCCGGCATGGACAAGGGTCTCCGCATGTTCCCTCTCAAGTAAGCATTCATCTCATCTTCTGATCTGAAATCCCAAAGCGTTTATCATGAATCCTCGAAGCTTTTAGTCCCTCCGTCGTAATCAACGTTTACGATTTCGTATTCCAGATTCGTATGGTGGCTGCCCGCCCTTCCCTTCATGTTCGCCATCTTCATCTACGACGAGACGAGACGATTCTACCTCCGCCGGAATCCAGGAGGCTGGCTCGAACAAGAAACTTACTACTAGACGCGGAAGGAGGATTTAATCATACACGCAGAGCGCGCGCGCAAGAGTTACAAGAGAGCGAGAGAGAGAGAATCAGAGAGAATGTTGAGAGAGTACGAGAGAGTGAGATATCGCATATTATCCACACAGAATATACAACCAGAAACCTAAATAAGTAAACAGAAAAAAAATAAAACGAAACAATGCATAAAACAGCCGAGCGATGGAGAGAAGAGGTCGAAGGATCACTCACATCAAATACACATACACACACATAATTTTACCATGGGGCGTGCTATTCGGGTCTCACCAGATTATATTATATTCAGTAGAAGGGACAATTCGCATCAGCTGAGCCGAATCGTCGAACGACCGTCGCGTCGCGCTTGAAGCCGAGACGAGGTGATGAGAAATGCTTTGCGTCGGAGTACAGAGCAGCCTTCGCTGACGCTGTGTATGAAGTACAAAAAAAAAGCGGGGAGAGGGATACTAAAGAGGAACGAGAGGATGAAGCGTTCGCCGTTCTGGCTCTGCGAGTTGCTTGCACGCGCGTGCCGGTGTATCATTAAAAAAAATCGAGATAGATCGTTGTTTTTTGAAAAAACATCGAAAGGATCGACCGAGGAGATGAAAGGGTTCTACGAGCAACGTCGTCAGGAAGACATCGAGTTCTTCCGGGTACACACATGCTTGATTCACGAGGGTCGCAGGGTTTGGTGCTGTCATCCGATATGTATCGAACGAAGAGAGGAAGTACCATAGTAGGGCCTAAGACACGAGAATAAAATGGAAAGAAACGGCGCAGAGGACGATGTCACTGAACGACGGAGACTACAAACGTAATGAAAAGTGGGCACTTGTGTATTCTTTTTTCGAGTCCGGAGTAGAGATAGCGCCAAATCGACGGATAACGCGCGCGTCCGTGTGAACATCGCCGGGTGTACGACGTGGATGATACATTCTTAGAAGTGAACGGATATAATTAGCGAACGATGGAGTAGACGTTTTGTGATATCAGAGAAACAAAAATTATTCATATAGGCATCCCGTTTAAATAAACGAGTAAAGATCACTGCGCTCTATTGGCACGCCCTTGTTAAGAGTTAAAGAAAAAAAAGTTAAAAATGCAATGTAGTCTCGATTAAAGAAACTAAATAACTAAATAAGAGTGGTATTATAAATGTTACACTGATGCAGAAGTTTAAGAATCGACGATTAAGAATTATCATTCGCAATCGACACTCACGAAACAAAACGTATTTACAGATAGACGTATCGTGACACCTGCATTGTCTTAAAATAGAACATTTCTTAATTGTTGATCAAAGAGAGGAGCGAGTATCAGCGAAGATCAGTACACTAGATTGGCACGCCCTAGTTCACTCGCAACGCGACAGAGAGAAAACAAATGAATGGAAAGCGAAATGGAATTACTGGAATATAAAATGGACAGATGACAGTATAAAAAGAACATAAGAAAAGAAAATTACAAAAAAAATGAAGAGCTAAGGTGCAGAAGTAATGAGAAACGCGTTCGCAGTACTCGTCATCATTCTTAATTACAAGTTTAGTTCGAGTCTTTAAAATCCGAGTAGCTGTTGAAGCCAGAAGTCGCATCGCGTAGATATTCCGTAGTTCGCGAGTCTCTGCACGAGGATCACGAGGCTTGGGGATGGACCCGTATCAGAGATGGACTTCTAAAGGGAAGAATGCGAAACGAAGAAGACCAAGAAGGTGCAAGGGAAGCTGTTAGACGCGTGGGGGTGAGCACGGGAACAGACAGCAAACGGACGCTATAACAATTAATCTACAACTCGTATCACTACCAAACAATGAAGATAAAACCAATAGGAAACAGGAGAGCCAAAAGCAAGACAGAAGATGGTTGTTCGAATTGCGCGCGAGCGAATGATAAAACGGTGGTCGTGGCCGCGGTTTCGGGATCCAGTGAACTGGGTGATTTGCATCCCACGATCCACTGTTACGGAACTGGACAAACGAGTTAAATAAACATGTTACTGATTATAAAAAAAGAACGAGAAACGAGCTAAATAGAGATGCGAGAATTAAAAATAGCCGCGCCGCTTCCGGGACCGCGTGTACTTCCCGGGGTGTGTTAGCGCTACGATAGTCGAGGTAAACAGGATTATAAAAAAAAATGCTAGTAGAGGATGGTAACGACGTAGAGGAGAAGCACAGAGTGGATAAAATTATGGAAAATAAAGCAAACGGGAAAATGAGTAAAAAAAACATTCTTACTTAGGCAAAACTAAAAAGTAAAAGAAAAATGGTATAAATTCATTCTCTTAGTTCTTCATAGGTTTAAATGAAACGCCAGCGGGACAGCTCGCTACAAACCATTAATTATTGACCCCCGAACGCAGAACGCCCTGTACCACCAACCCGTGGTCTGTCGTGTGTATGTGTGTGTTAGTGTCGTAACCCCTTCGAATTTTTTAGGAACGACAACATACCACCAACAACAACGTAAAAAACGTACAAAAAAACGAAAAAAAAAGATATAACGATGAACGAAGGTGACTTAAACTGGCTGCCACGCGACATTTCGGGCCGGGACGATCCGAGGCGTGCGATCATGTTAGGTCTTGGTTTCGATTGCTTCTTCGATGGGAATCGTACGCATACGCAGAGAAAAAAAAAATATCCGTTCTTCATTTCTCTTTGCTTGTACCACTTTTCTTTTCTGAGATCCTCGTTATTCGCTTCCGCGGCTTCTCGGTGTGCACACGCGAACGTCGGTGAAGTGGGCGCTTCGTTTCGAGCGGACAGCTTCGGGGCGGAAGCGTTGGTAACGTAAGGCGAACTCGATCGATGGATCTTCCGCGATTCATCAATCGAAACTAACTTTACTCGTTGCGACGATTCGACTCGTTCCCAACGAACAATCTCGGTGGGTTCTTTACCACGTTCTCTGGTTCGTTTGTTCCACGCGAATCAAGGCGAATGGACCGTCGAGATGGTTACAGGCAGACGAAGAGGGTGACGCTCGCTCGGCGGTCCTGGCCCCAAAACTACCCTAAGTGTTCAATAATCGAGGTGTTCTCTCGAGGTGCCGCACACGCGTAACACGTTCTTCGCTCGCTGATCTCGCCGAATTCTGAACTTCGTTCAGGAACAAAGAAATCAAACGAAGATCCTGACGGTTGACACTTTCCTCCAGCCCTTCCGATGAAATATTCACTGTTGCGCGCGCGACGGGCTGGTCGAAACGGTCGGGTTCGGTTCAGTCTCCGATGAATCTCTGATGTTCGATCAAGAAATTCGGTGCGATCGGCGAAGCTTAACCGAATCGTTTTTCGAGACACGCGGATCGCCATTCGAATCCAACCGACAACGTCTACGAGAGAAACGAGATGAAGACTAGAAGAAGGAAACACGGAAAGAAGGCAGCAGTGTACCATCGCGTTGCTCGTCGAACTCGGACTCGCATTAGATTAAAAAAAAAAGAGAGAGGGTAACACGATATACGATCATGCGAAACGTCCCCGGAATTTGTCTTCTTCCTCGGTCAGAGGAAGGAGATACTCGAGAAATCGGTCGATGCTAGGTATTCATACAAAAAGAAGTTCAATGTTCACGCCAGTTGTTTCTGTTATCATGGTGTCTCTTGGTTTCGCGTTGCGGGAAAGTGTTATGCCGATATTGTAGCTGCACGTACGTATTCGAACAGAGGATATATCGATCATTCCTGTCACAACGAAATTGATCAAACGGACGTGAGGAAAGGGAGATAGATTGCCTTCGGCGGATCCCTGTGTTTCGAGGTAGGACGCGGACGAGAGAGGAGTAATAGAATCCGACGGACGGAGGAGTGAAAGTTGAGGTAAACGTCGGCAAGGGAGATACATTATACGTAGATGCGTTGGCTCACAATCGTTTTTGCAGAATCGCTCGCAATGTGGATTAAATTGTCGGGGATATTTGGGTCGGAGGATCCGTGGTTTGTCGACAGGGTGTTCCGTGCCCGGGGGGCGTAGGAGCCCAAAAATTGCTTTGCCGTCGTGCTCTTTACTTTAGGCTAATAATTTAAATATTAATACTATAATAATAATAAATAATAATGATAAATAATAATAATTATAATATAATACATGTTACAATAAGATATTATTAGATGTAATTATTATATATGGGTTAGTCTAGATCGTGTTGTTGAAGAAAAAAAAAACAAAGTACGTATAAGCGAACAAAAAAATATGAACAGAGATGATTATGAAGAGTATGACGACGACGAGGAAGAGATGGGGCGGAGAACGCGCGAGAGAAAGAGAGAGAGAGTAAAAAAAATTAAGGGAAGGAGGGCGATGAAGCGAGGGAAAAAAATTCGGTCTAAGACCATAAATATCTTTGCGGCGGACTGAGCGGGACACAGACGAGAGAATCCGCTTTATGTTTGTTCTGTGCGCATGAACGTACGTACATATTATACATATATATACCTACGTATTTTTTTCAGACAAGCAAGTTCGTTTATAATCTTCGAGACACGAAACGAATTCAGCAAATCGCGCACTCATCGAATATCGCGTCATGTTTAGAGTGAGATATATTACATACATACGCATTTTTAGTGACTTTTCCGTGCGAGAGCGCGTTCCTTTAATTTTACCTTTTTATTTCGTTTCTCCGCTGCGTTTTCGATTACGCGGATAGATTTGCGGGTTTCTCGGCAACGGCGTCGCTTTTTTATCTTTTTTTCCGTACCATCACACACCGCGGATTCCTAGATAAAGACAATCCTCGGCACGCGAGTCGCAAATCTTTTCGTGTTCTGCAAAACGAACAAACACGCGGAAACCCAGCGCGAACGTCCCAAACGAAGGAAACAATATATGAATTGGTTTTTCGGGTGTATCGGCGTAAAAGTGCGGGAGAAAACGAAACGCGTGAATGTGGGCGAGAGAACGTGTGTTTTAATAATAACGGATTCTTCGCTTTTCTGTTGCCGCGATCAAAGAGCCTAATCGGCCAGCGAAATTACTCGAGTCGGAAATTGAGAACAAAAACGAGAGAAAAGCAAGGAGTGCAAGGCAACCCGTTCGCTTGAAATTCACGACGTGGCTATTTATTTCGTACAGTACGCTGTACACTTCAAGTGAACGGGATGAATAAGATTACTAAAAGGAGAAAGACAGTGTCATGAGAATCCTGTAAAACGTCGCCCCTGCACAGCCCGCCACACTACGATAAAATCATTGAGCGATTAAAATATAAACAAAAAAAAAAGAAGAAAAAAATGAATGATGTTTTATTGATACTGTAAATATTTAAATAATTGCAGGCGGACAAACGGATCGCGCGTGAAGAGACCCAGTGAGACGGCGGCCCGGCTAGTAGGACCGCCGTTTTCACGCAGGTCTCCATTGTACTCTTTTTGTTTTTCGTTTTAGTGCCGCATATATGATTATACACTCCACACACATACACACCGTACACGTCGCGAGACACGTATGCGAACATAGAGAGAGAAATAATACACGTACACGCTCAGAGATAAATGAAAATGAAAAAAAATAATGTACACTGCTCTATCAAAACTATCTCTTCTGATTGACGATTCCTTTCATATTGATTATTCTGTAAGTTATGTTTTCACACATGAATTACATTAAGAAAAGAATGAGACATTGTCCAACCCAAGTGTCATTACTTTTGATGTTAAATAAAAAATACATAATTAATAAAATAATCTTTGTCCTATCTTCCTGACTGGTGATTGCTCGTCGCGCAAGATTATCATTTAGGATAGAGGATAAAAGGAAAATGTAAAGAATTTAAGTTTTATTGTCATAGCATGTTCATTCATTCCATTTTGTATATACACCTGTAATTATTCCTCTCATATTTAATTTGTACAAATTTTCATTTCACGTATGCTCGACGTTCTCCCTTTATTCAAGTTCTGCCGACGTTAGTTTTTGCCTGTCCTTATGTCGATTCTTCTTCCGTAATCTTTGAATATGTTTTTTCAGCTTGCCCGAATTTTTCAGCTCTTCGTATTGAGAAATTAAGTTCAAGACCTTTTTCTCAGCTGTAAAAAGAAATTGAATTTTAATTTCACGTGATCTTCGATCAGTGATCTTTATGACTTACATTTCTTTTTGAATACTGGTTTCTCGCCACGTTTGATAGCTTCCGCGATCTCATTCTTTTCTTCCCGCTTCCTTTCCTCTATCTGATTTCTCCTTCTTTCCTCCCGTATTTGATTTTCCAACCGTCGCTTGAGGTATTGGATTTTCTGTATCATCTTCGGATCGTTGGTTTCTTTCAACTGTTCTTTTAATTTCCTCAGATCGTTTTGTTTTACATCATTGAGGAATCCGTAATTCTTTTTGAATCTTTTCGGATCGAACGTGCCGCAAAGACTGTCAAATCTTGGATCTCTTGGAATCTGTTTCTTTACGTGTACTACTTCCATAAATCGAGACACAGGCTTTTTCGCGGAGATTTCCCGTGGTCTGTTTTTGTTTTCTCGCTTGAACTCGTGTTTCTTGATCTTCCGTGGACCAAACAATGTTTCTTTATACACTTTAGTTCCCAGTTTCTCTTTCAGTTTCTGTAGTTCCTCGAAACTCATTTGCGAGAGTTCAGCCCTTATTTTATCCTAAATCGAAACAATTTAAAAATAATTCCCTTTTACTTCGACGTAAACACAACCAATGCAGTTTATTATTTATCAAGTTTTCAACATATTTTACAATAACGAGTGAATTGGCAGAAAGTACCTGGTCCTTATCTTCATTAAGAAGAGCATCTTCTTCGTCGCTCATGTTAAATAACGGAGAATATTGAACAAATGTACAGAAACGAAGAACTTCTTTGTTTGACACATGAAACACTCACGGTGCCACCATGTGTCTCTGTCAATGAAGATTCAGACAACGGTACTAGATGGCGCTACACTGTCAATCGTCTTCGTTGATCCCTGTTTGTAAGGAATGTCACGGATTGTGAAAATTCTTCCAAACTTCCAAGGTAATCGTACAATTTCTTGACTTAAAACAATACGCTTCATAAAAAGCTATCACTTTAACATCTTAAAAACCTTGTGGTAGAATCTATATCTGCTAGGTTGTAAATTAAAAACTTGACTATTCTTTACTTTGCTCTTGCGTCAAGTGAACATCTCAAGAACGAAGCATAGAAATATGCAAACGAATCGTAGTATTCTATAGCAGGAATTCTACGGTAATAATAGGAGTGTACTAAGTAAATATCGCGCAAGTACGTGATCCGTTTGTGTTCGATGGTAACTTTATGTAGATTTCCTGATAATTGCGCAACATTATGAAATCCCTAATTTTACGTAACGCATTATATCGATGTGTGGGTCATAATACGAGACTTATTACTACACATACATCACGATAGGACCCTCTGAAACTGCGTAAAAGGATAATTGTGCTGCGTAAAAACTGTAAACCTGTAGAGTAGCTCCATCTGCTTAATTCGTCATACGAATCGGGCATCAAGGTTATCTGAGTCTTAAATCTAATAAACATCATTACTGCCTAATTGTATTGATGTTCTTTTGCTGCAAATGCAACGTGCTTCTATACATGTATGTCGCAGATCGGTGAAAATGATGAAAAACCCTGTTCTCAAACTCGATTCTCATCTAATGCATTACATAATAGCATTTGCAATTCTATTTACGACGTAAAAGTATCTAATGTTCAAAAAATATGAAGCTTCGAGAATATTGTTTCTTTGATGTATTGTTTAGGATCAGGGAGATAGATGATGGGAAACGAGCTGTTTAATTTTTTTTTTATCGGTCAGTAGATAAATTTCGAATTATATGCATCCGTTTTTATACTGTATTAATTTCGAGTTGATATACGTTTCTGAATTACAGGCACTTGAAAATTAAGCTGCCGAATGTGACTGTGGTATTTGTCGCGAGGGGGCAGTGCTGTCAGGTGTGTCTAAAATGGCGGGTGTGCTGTTCGAGGATATTTTCAACGTGAAAGACATCGATCCAGAGGGGAAAAAGTTTGACAGAGGTAAGTCTGAAATGTGGCTCACGCTTACGTCTATTTATAAACAGCGTACGGAATGAATACGCCGCGAGATTTGCGAATTGTTAACAGTTAAAAATGGAACGTTCCGCGGACGTTCGTTCCTTACGGACGTTGCCGGGAAGCACATGGTGTGACAGTTTGATTTAAATACGTGTTTCCTTCGTGAAAACATGTGAAACCTTCGTTCCGAGTCACTGACAGAAACGTGAACTTTCTAATTTAACGTTCGTTCATTGATAAGAACGTCGAATAATTGTTCGGAAAGTTCTAAATTATGCTGCTCAATTGTTCACCGTATCGTCCTCTATAAGAGCGGTCTATTTGATACACGATCGACACAAAAAACTGTTTACTTGGTTTTTCATATAAACGGCAATACGTAGTGGTCGACTTTGAAGTGCCAATCCTTGTTCGCAATGTAAACCGACACTGTTGTTGGGTCAAATTTTCGCAAATACAGTTAGAGTAAAGATAATGTACGTAAGCAGTGGAGAGTTTTTATTAGCTCGATATTTTATTTTTCTAAAACGGGGGCGTAAAGGTCGAGCATGTTTGACATTAATTTGAAAGGCTTTTGCTCGGTAACAATGGAGCTTGGTTCCCGTTGTCACCGTGATCTATTCGACATTTGTCATCGATATTTTCTTCGCCCTGTACACGCCCGTCGACGAATCTATTTAACACGAAAATGTTATGACAATGTGACACGGAAGCTTTATCGAGGCAATTAGTAAATGACTGACTATATTTATACCTCGTTAGTTCACTTATCGATACTTCTTATCGACCTTGTATTTTACATTCCATGAAAAATGGCATTGTACATTTCCAACGTACGTTCGAACGTACCTGAAATTTTAACAATTATCATTAACGTGACAAGAATTATGCGACGCGAAGGTTTTCATTTGTGACGAAGCGAGATAGATAGGTGTAAACGTTAATTTAGATATAGGAGGATATGTTTCATTATCTCCAGCTACGAAGACTTTTTCATTCATGCATTTCTTTCCTCGGCCTCTTTTTCACATCGAATTTATCGTTAGAGGAAGTTAGTATCGAAGGTCATTTAAAAATTGATACGCGTGCCAGGAATATGCGTCACTGATGCCATACGGTGCAAGGCATACGTGCTTCAATGTAAAGTGAAGAGAAACATTTTTCCTTCGTATTACACAATATGAGATCATCATGCTTCACCGTAAGATTCTACGATGAAAAATCTATTATAAATTTTGTTCAGATTCTCATGATGTATCACCGTCCCGTATTAAATTCTTCCAACGAAATCGGGTGGATGCACATTTCTCGAACCGCGCACACGAAAATCTGCTGATCTTCCGTTAGGACGTCGGATCGATGTTCTCCAGACGATGTAAACTTGTAGAAAAAAAACCGCGACGCGTATCGCGTCACCCTATATTTTCACCTACATTATCGCCGGGGAAAGGGTTCCGCTTGGAACAGCGGCGTTCCACGCGGATGGGTGTTAGTGGGGCCAGGCAGGCGCGCGAGCGAGAGAAAAGACGAGATCTCGGTTAGCGGGGAAGAGGAAGGTTCGAAGGGGTGGGAAAAAGAGCGACAGGACGTTTGGGAGCGGCTTCGGGGCAGCTCGAACCGAGGAGTAGGTGGAGGCTGGCTCTTCGCCGCGGTAAAAGCACTTTTTTCCCACCCATTTCTTCGTCCCGTTGCATGCGCGTTTCGCTGCTCTTCGGGAAACGTCCTCGCGAAAAATGCGACTAATCGGGCCGAGCCACGTGGCCGTAAATTCAGCCTGTCCCTCGGAAAACTTTCGCCGCGACGCCAGCCACTTCGTTCTCGTTTGCGCGTAGGTCGCCCGATAATTCACTCCGTCCGGGAAGAACGAGATATACCTCACCCGGAATACATATATCTTTATTCGAGCTATTCAATATCGGTTCACAAGAAATAGAAAGCGATCGCGCAGGGGTAGCTTGAAAAACGGCTATCCTTGAACATGTGCATACTTCGATACCGCGCGCTTTGTGCTCGCGCGTCCTACGTACCTTTCCGTAAAACATATGGTAACTAAAAACCTACCGTTATTCTACGCGATACATGCACTTCGAATATTAATTTTACATCTCATAACTAGTTTCTGCATCTAATAGACCTACTTTAGCAGAAGCCTTCTGTACAATCGTGATACACCCCACCTATTTGTGAAGGGTATTCGCGATCATCGTTTACACAACGATTCCTCTCGACTTTCACCACGAACGTGGATAGACGTTTATGTAGCTGGAACTGAAAGGGTGGTGGGACACGATCCGGCCTGGCGGTAGCTCGAGGGGTGGGACGGAGGATTTTGCGACGGGTTTGCCAACGAGCCGAGGGGTGAAGGACGAGGCGGAGGGCTGGTAGAGTCTGTGCTGCGACCGGTCGATGCAGCAACGATACCCGCAGCCGCAGCAGCAGGAGCCAGCAGCACCAGCACACATGGAGCAACATCGCATTCGCGTAATACGACGCGACTCCGGTCGGGGAGGCCGTTAGGGAGGGGAGCGGCCGGGACGCGTTAGGATCGACCTGGTGGGGCTTGACACGGTCAAGGTCAGTCTCCGTTCCAAGGTCACGGGGAGATGTCATCTCAGGAGGGAGCAGCGCGCGCGCGCTGTCTTCTTTCTTTTGCGCTCTTTCACCCTACCTTCCGCCTCGGCTCTTCTTCGCCTTTCTCTTTCTCATTCACGTACAGATATACACGTACGTCTGTACGACGCGGCACGGTTTTCCTCGTGCTCTCTTCCCCCTCGCGTTTCACCGTGCAGCGATTGAAGAATTTCGTGCGAAAATTGATCATCTGCATTTTGATTACTTTCCGATTCGATTAGAACTTTTTTTCGCTGCTGATGTCCTCGCGTAACTTGTTCATTCCCTCTCGCGTTTCATCGGTCCGCGGTCGAGGAACACGCTAAGGTAGTTCCGAGGTTTAACGTTATTGACTTTTTCCATTGTCTTGGGCTTCTGCCAACGGAACCCCGAGTAAATATCAAAATTATTAGGAGTCACGGTCGAATCGAGTTTTTGATGGAAACGAGTCATCACGAATCAGAAAAGTAAACGCGATCCGATAGAGGAGATAGTTTTTAAGCGAAACGATAAAACCTTGCGCCCGAAATCGATTTTGTTCGATGGCCGGAGGTCGCGTTAAGTCCCATTCCCACGATTCGAGTACAGTTAATTAAATAACGCTGATCAATCCGCGCCTGAACGACCAGTCAATCAGTGTTTTATTTGCGAGACATGTAAATCCGTTTCTAGTTTGTTCGCCACGAATTTTGCTTTCCGTTCGAATTTCCGTCAAACGTCAAAAATACGAACGTCAAGCTTCGCTTACGTTGCTGTAACAGGGTTACAGAACACGTCTGCAGCATCCGAGCTCACTTTATACCTACAGCACTCCGAACGACAAAAACGATTCAGTATTTTCCTGAAGTGAATATAAACGATGAGTAATAAGACTTGTACGTTGAAACGTGAAAACGAACGCATCGCCATTATTAATTGCAACGTCTCTGACGTTCAGTGGAGGAGTCAAAGATTAGAAGCGATCGAGCTTCAAACGTTTAACTTTCATAAATCTTACGATTCACGTTCAATTAATCCTGCGGTATCTCGATCGATTCGAACCCTTCGTTCGTTCGACTCGCTCGATACATCTCCCGTGTCATTTTCGACGTTCCGTTGCAACTTGTTGCAGACGTAGAAACGGAGCTTGACTCGTCATAACGTCTGTGCAAACGTACATCTCGGAGAGCGAGACTCGTTAAGAATAATTTACTCCCTCGAGTTCCGCTCAGGTCGGAATACGTTTTCCTCCGACTTGTCTTTAAAAGCATCGATTATTCGGTAAAACGGAACACGTCTGGAAGAACCTGACACGAGCGTCGGTCGCTTTAGAATTGCACCGTTAATCTGCCAGTCAGCAGACGAACTGCCTTTTGGCGATCAATCATATCGGTCTGAATATACCAGCGAGGCCAGTCGAGCAAGATCAGATAACCATTAAGGATGTATTAGCTCTACAGTTAATCCCAAAAGTTTATGTGCCTTAGAAAAACGCATTTCCTATAATTAAAAAGAAATTAGACGTCGGAAGAATAATGCTAATAATAAATAGCTACGTGCTAAAAAGTATAGAAGGAAATATCCAATTAATTATTGACGCTGAGGAAAAATTTTTTTTTCAAAATTGCATCAAAATTTTTGAAAAATGCTTCAAATAAAAGTTGTTTTCCTTCTAACTTCGATATTTAATGAGTTACATATGATTATACGGCATTTTATTGACGTTGACAAAATCCGACCATCCCAGCGTCGAAATTGCGAACTTTTGACAAAAAATTCCGTTTTTCTTCAATAACTTCTAAACCCTTGGAGATACGGAAAAATTGCATAGAACCTTTCTTGTAG